GATGACTGAAGACTCTTTGAGAATTAAAGTTAATATATTTAATACGTTCGCGTCGATCTTCTAGTCTTCATGTACTTAGGTGAGATTAAGCGCAAATATATCCACGAAAAAAAACTTTACTACATTTCGAGGGATTTCGAGGTGATTTTGAGGTTATATAATTCTAGCACAAAATTTAGATGATTCGCTGAGACATAACGCATTGATAGCTCGCTTGTGACCATACGTTTGGAAGTTATCCTTGAGCAGCATAGTAGAAGGTGACTTTAGTCTCGTTCATGGTTCACTGTGCCATCTTGAAAAGTAGCTTGGCCATTGCATCGACCGAAGAGCGTTGATTGCTACCACACCTTTGCACACAAAAAATATATGAAACTAGCATAGTCTGCTAATGATGAACAGAACTTGCTTTAGCGGAAAGCTGCTTTTAGAAATTCGTTATGTGAAATCGCTCAGAAAGTATAAAAATACAAAGAAAGACAACCTAGACTCGATTTTAGCCACAAGCGGTTTAATGTTAACACAGCTAAAATGTATACTGGAGAACACTAAAATTAAACCCCTGCTCACCAAAAGGGTGTGAGGGAGGGAAAAATAGAAAGACTAACTACAACCCAACCAGCAGTAAACACTCGATCTGAACTAACAGAGATRAAGTGAAATGGGTTACTATCTATACTAACAATTATAACAATTATCTATACTAAAATTCCACTRAGTACCATGAGAACCCATTTAGGCTAAAACTTGAAATAATGAGTTCTTATAAGCGGGTAATTATTGTAGTGAATATTTTACAAAGTAGAATGACAGCAAATTGGCAGGCTGCATTGCAATATGATTGGATAGAATATAGCTTGACCTACTAAAGTTTGATTTCAAATAAGATGTTCAGCCGAGGCTGAGAACAAAAATGCTATGCCACGAGATAGTTTTAGGTTGAATTCAAATATGAAATTAAGACAAAGGGTCGCTCTAGATAGAGAACTAACTTTCTATCAAGTTATATTAGGAAGATATTTAGAATAAACGATGCTAAGACTTTAAACTATCGAAGGGCGTTTTGGGCATGCATATAGAATTATAAGGTTGCAAAGGAGGAGTCTGACATTGGTATAATATTACAACGATATAAGCCACGTGGAGAAATTCCACATGGAAAATGGGTGGTGTTTGCATTTGGTCTATCTACTAGCAAGAAGAATTGCTGAATGTTTTTGAATTGAGTGGTGATTTATTAATGCTTGGTTTATCTTGTTGTTTTTTCCCCCAAGATATATATTGAAAACTCTATGTGACACGTGTGAGCTAATGATCAGCTGATCCTTGCAACATTCGCCAGGATTCACTGATGTACTTGGCAACGTCCCCAACCGTTACCACGCATGTTACCATTCCCGTTACCCCGGACAACGAGACCACGATATTGGTGTTACCTTTGAT